TGAGTTTTAAAGAAAGACATCTAACTCGCATTTTTTTAAAAAAAATTCAATTATTTCATTAACATTTATTATTTTTGCGATACAAATTTCTCAATGTAATTTTCATCATTTTATTAGGAAATTTTATATGGAATATAACATCAAAAATTTTCGAAATTTTACATCCGAAAAAGTTAGATCCCATGTAAATTTTCGGATGCAAATTACACGGGGTATGATTTTTTTGGACGTAAATTTTCGATTGTAAAATTTCTCCCAACTTCTTTGTAAGTTTGATTGTGCCCCCCTAACTTTAATGCTATGTGTCCGCCCGTGGCAGCAGCTAAACAGTAGTGAGTTAAAATTACAATTTACACAATCCACATGTAGTGCTCCAATGTATTATTCAACAACAGGCTAGCTCAGGAAGATTATCAAATCTTCCATTTACAAATCCTAATTTCGAAAAGAAAAAATGCAATAGTGTCAATAAGATATATAGTCCTTTATTCATGGTGTCACCATTCAGCAACCGTGAGGCATAAGCATGACAAGATTGTATCAGATAGTATAATAGGGTAAGCAAGCAACAACAAACTTCAGGTGGATCCTCAATTAACAAGACAAGTCTAGCTGACAGAAATTAAAGATACAAATAAATAAAAAAATCCACGGAGACTAAAAAGAGAGAGAAGCATTTCCAATTGTTTTTAAACCATGCAACCCTGTACAAGCTTCAAATAATAAACAAAGTGCTCCATCTTTCTCTTTTACGTTTATATAATTATATTCAACGTTTGACTGTTTTTGTCAGCTCTAAAAAACCAAGACGAGAAAGCCAAACACCTGAAAAAAACCAACTTCTATTCTACCATGTCAGTAAGTGACTTACTGCTGAAAAAAAAAGAACAAATACAAATTTCATTTTGATGTGCTATTAGAAAACCCATAAGCATACAATCAAATTATTGGAAACATTGCACTTGTTTATCAAGGCAGCATATTAAATTCCAATGATACATATTTCAAACTGGTTCACTTTCCTTGTCACTCACTTCCATATTATTCTATTAATTTAAATAGTTGAATTGGAATTGGTTTCACGTTTTTGTTTTCTTACTATTATATCAATATTTTTCTCTTAGAAACTCGTAGATTACATGTTTATATGATAAGAAATCAAGGACAAAATTGAGAAGAAAAGCCTAAATGCTGAGGGAAAAAACAAAACTCACCTCTTCGGCAGTAATTATAGCCTTGATATCCTGCACTAACCCACAAATACAATCACATGCAACCAAGAGAGAAAAAAAAATTAATAGCACTATAATCAAATTTAACTGTAATTCCTTGATACAAATACAAAACTGAGGATATGTAACTATTTAAAAAATTCAATACAAAAGGCATGCCAAAACTAAATGAGAAGAATTTATCAATTCTGAACTAAAAATCATAATAAAAAATAAAAACAAAAATCAATCTTTTATGAGGAGAAAAAGCTTTAAACTATAGGTTTAAAAATTCAATCTTTCGTCTTTAAAATTAAATCTTCAGGTGAATAAAATGGCCCTTAATTTTGCGCTCCAAGACTTCCCTTTTGCATTAACAAATACATTGAAAAAAAAAAAAATAGTAAACTAAAATAAATGCAAAATTCACCTCTAAATTGAGAACAATAGCTTTCTCCCGACCAAGTACGGTAGAAGGGTAAGACAAGACGGGATCAAGAATTCGAAGATCGCGTGTGGATTTGCACCCTGTGCATGATTGCGTACTTATCAACGTCCGGGATGATCTCCTCCCCCGAAGATGTTATGGTTGAGCTAAAACTCAACCTTAAATCAGCTAAATGTAACCACAACACAGCTCAAACTAATGAATTCCAATAACTAACAATTGAAATGAAGAACAATTTTATTCAATCGAAACTGAAATTGC